TGGAGGCCCTGGAGGTGCTGGAGAAGCACCAGCCCTGCCCTGTGCCCCCAGCCATGTGCCACCCGCCCGGGAATGGGGACGGTGACGCTACTTCCACCCAGGATTTAAATGCCACCAAGGTTAGGAGCAGCTGAGAAGAGATTTCCAGGATTGGATTTTGGGACGGAGATGCCTAAATTCCAGCTAAGCTACACTTTAAGCACCAGAGTCCTGGGTCGGCCCCGGCGGGTCAGGAGAGCTGGGGCACACACGTGGCATCGGGCGCTGGCGGGTGACAGTGCTGGGGGTGCTCTGTGGGCACCAAACGGGGCTGATCGTGGTCCCTGAGGGACCTCAGAGCCAGGACACAGAGCCACGACCCCAAAATCAGGATCCCATGGGACCCCAAGACCAGGACCCTGAAGGACCTGAGAACCAGGACACAAAGGCAAGGTCCTAAGGAACCTCAGGCCAGGACACAGAGCCAGGACCCCAAGGAACCTCAAGACCAGGACCCTGAGGGACCTCAGAACCAGGACACAAAGCCAAGATCCCACGGAACCTCAGAATCAGAACCCCAGAACCAGGACCCCAAGGCCAGAACCCCAAAACCAGAACCCTGGAGGCTCCAGAATCAGGATCCTGAGCCAAGACCCCAGAACCAGGATCCCAAGGGACCTCAAGGCCAGGACCCTGGAGGGACCACAGAACCAGGACACAGAGCCAAGATCCCAAGGAACCTCAGAACCAGGACCCAGAGCCAGGATCTCAAGGCCAGAATCCCAAAACCAGGACCCTGAGGGACCTTTGAAACAGGACTCAGAGCCAGGACCCAGAGCCAGGACCCCAAGGGACCTCAAAAACAGGACCCAGAGTCAGGACCCCAAGGGATCCCAGAGCCAGGACTCGACCCCAGGCTGCAGCTACCAACCAAACCAGTTTGGAGGAGCCCAGCAGAGCCATGGACATATCCCCCCAACATGTGCCCCCAAACAGACCTGCAGAGAAGCCACTGGAGAGTCCTTTAATGCAGCAGGGGACAGACAGCAGCACCTCGGGGCTGGGGACCCCCCAAATCCATGGATCTCATTGTGGGATGGGATGGCTGCACTCACATCTCCTTACTGTCCTCCCCAGAGCTGTGGAGGGGCAGATTCTGCTGTCAGACAGGACTGGGGAGACCTGGGAGCCTTCCCTGGTGGGGGCACAGGGAGGGCATGCCCAGGGTGACAGGGGTCCCTGCCCAGGGGGTGGGGGCATGGGGAGAGGACCCCCAGGGTGACAGGGGGCACAGGGAGGGCACCACCCTAGGGATGCAGGGCAGGAACTACCAGGGTTACAGAGGGCAAAGGGAGGGGATACCAAGGGC